CACTTCTATAACCTAAGAATAGCTCCATTAGTTTGCCTTGAAGCCCCTGTAGTTACTGAATAATAAGCCTTTGTATGAAGTAAACCTGGGATGTTAAGTGGTTAATTGAAAGAGTCGGTCCCTAAAGCCAATTAAAATATGATACCAGCACACATATGATGCAAACTAGCCACTCGCCATGCAAACTTATTTTATTATTATTTTTATTACAAGTGATTTTAGGTCACTTGTTTTCATATAATAGTGATTATTATTGTTTAGTCGAGTGTTGTTTTATTGTGTTTTGTACTTTCTCAGAAATAAAGGCAGTAAACTGTCACTGGGGCAGTGCCCCTCTTGTCACTGGGGTGGAACCCTCAAGGGTCCATCTCAGTACCTTCAGTCAGGGAACATAACTGAACCATAATCCACTGAAATGAAACGTTCTAAGCTGTACTGACTCCACACACCCCGCCTCGTCTCCAGGCTTTTATTTTACTGTTCTGTTTTAAAACATTCGGTTATGAAAAGGTACAAATACGAACTTTTCACCTGGAAAAACTTATTTAAGGTTCACAATCAGACCTTAGAACCACTGTAGTACCTTTGAGGGAAGAATTACATTGTTTGTACCTTGATGAACAAAAAATATACCTGCACAGAACTTTTATTTCAGTGTAAATTAATAAAAGCAAATCTAATCCTGCAAAAAATTGCATTGGACTCAAGTGTGTGCATCATGTTTATATAAATAAAATAATTACATCTGTACAATTATTGCCAAAGCTAAATAAACTGAAAGATGTAACATATATCATGAACGCATTTCTTTCATACACCAGATTATCATTCTCCCTCACTGCAGTGCATCAGTCCACCTGCGATCATCTAACTGACACCAGGTTAACTCTGACCTCCTGAAAGCTGCGTTTTCTATGTTCAGTGCTGACAGACCTCCATCAGGTCCTGATCCGTGAGCTGCAGCAGGTGAACTGTGACCAGCCCGTCTGCGGTGCACTCGGACAGTGGGATAAGACGAGGCCACTGAGCCGAGACACTCTGAGCTCACTGGAACTGGTCAGCCGAAACTGAAAAAAATGATGGGTGAGAAAGTCCAGTTTCAGATATAGATGTGCATCGGTCAGTTTTTGCACTGCAGCATCAAAATCTCAGTAAGAGCAGGTCTGATATATTTCTACAGCTTCTACAGATTAATCGATTATACTCAATAACTCAATATTATAAAACCATCAATTAAAATGAACTGTTTGGATCAATTTGGCAGTGATTAGTTGGCATATTTTATGTATTAATGTACATTAGTTGATATATTTTAAATTCTCCTACCGCTCTCTTACAGTAAGAAACAGAGCCTGATGGACAAAGTGACAAAAGTCATAGACCACCATTCATTTATTTAATTTCCAGTCAAAACAGCCAACAAGTACAAGCTTTTCCTTTTTCAGAAGATATTTACTGATATAAGATAATCCACTCGCATAAGGAAGAGGAAAGGTAAAGTGAAAAAACAGGAGTCTCCAAAAAACTGGAGTTCAAAAAATGATTAAAAGCTACAGAGAAGATGTGGCTCCTAACAACCACCTGGGAGACCTGGGAGACACCAAAACTGCCCCCATCAGATAAACAGCACTTAAAGCTTTCATCTCTGAGAGAGAGGAGAAAATCAAGCTGCTTCAGATCTGAAAACATCCACAGGTGTTTCTGTCCATCCTTCCACTGTGAGAAGACGACTCAGCGCTGTGGGTCTGAAAGGATGTGTAGCTGTCAAGAAGAACCTCACTGAGAAAAGGAGACGGACACATCAAACAAAGAAGCTGAACAATGGACTGACCACCCCAGAGTCCAGACCTCAACACCCCTGAATGTGTTTGATTACTTCAGAAAATGATCAACCAGCTTCTAAGACTGAACTTTGGAGGTGTGTCTGCAGATTCTTTGAGGAACTGAAAGTGAGTCTCCTGAAAAGAATGGAAGCTGTAATCAAGGTTAACAGTGACTCACTAAATACTGAAATATCTGATATTATATTTTTAGTTGTTAAAGTTTCTGTGTATTTTTTGTTAAATATACGTTTCTGCTTTTTTACTGATGCTGTAAAATTAATATATTTTTTCCCAATTAATACGGAGCCCCAATGGTGACATCCTTTATCAATAAAGATAATGTGAGGCCACAACTTAGTAAGGCATGGGAACAAGATAATTATGCAGTAGCCACGACTAAATAAGTTGTGATCTTCTTTCCACGCCTTACTAAGTCATGGTCATGACTTAATTATCTCATTCCCATGGCTTACTACATTGTGGCCACGACTTAATTATCTCATTACCACACCTTAAGAAGTTGTGGCCACGCATTAGGATCTCGTTCCCATGCCATAATAAGTTGTGGCCACGCATTAGGATCTCGTTCCCATGGCTTACTATGTTATGGCCATGACTTAATTTTCTCGGTCCCACACCTTATTACATTGTGGCCACAACTTATTTATTTCATTCCCATGCCTTACTGCGTTGTGGCTACCACTTAGTTATTTCATTCCCACGCCTTAATAAGTTGTGGCCACGCATTAGAATCTCGTTCCCATGCCTTACGAAGTCATGGCCATGACTTACTTATCTCATTCCTATGCCATAATAAGTCATGGCTACGCATTAGGATCTCGTTCCCACACCTTACTACATTGTGGCCATGACTTAATTATCTCATTCCCACGCCTTAATAAGCCATGGCCACGACTTAATTATCTCATTCCGACACCTTAATAAACATCCATTTGGATCTCATTCCCACACGTTAAAAAAGCATGGCCACGCATTAGGATCTCGTTCCCACGTGTTAAAAAAGCGTGGCCACGCATTAGGATCTCGTTCCCACGTGTTAAAAAAGCGTGGCCATGCATTATGAAAGATTCTGCACAGTTTGTTGTTGTTCAGTAATTTCTCTTTTATAATTTGTCCCTTTTTAAAACTCAATTAATCATTAATAATTGTTGAATTACTTACTGATGTAAACAGTGGAGGCAGCCCTAGATCTTCCTATGAGTTGACATTTCACCAGGGGGTCACACAGGTCTTCAATATCACACGTTTGGGAGTCTGTTGGGGTGATAAAGGTTGACGGAATCCATCTTTTGGTCCGGCGCACCAGCACACTGTGCATTTTATTGATCATGAAGGACCCATAAAGTGCAGAGTGATGAATTGTTGTCGTGGGTGGACGGGTGAGGTTTTAATCGATGAACATTGTCTTGTCTTTATGGAAATTATGCCTGAGATGAGCTAAAGCTGCTCATTTATGCTGTTTTCCCTCATACAGCCCACATAGTGCACAGGCTACAGCGCCGGCTGGATGGCCAGTAAGGGACACAAGGTGAAATGGTCAGCAGCTGAAACAGGATTCTGTTTATACATTTTGAAAAGGATGGTAATGAATCATGTTAATGGAATCATAGTTTTTAGGCTTTTAATCAGTTCATAATTTAATCATTTATTGGAAGGATGAGACCCACATTCATAAAACCATATTTAAGCTATCTGTGGTTCTTTTTCCAGTATCAACCTCTTATTATAAATTATCATACATTTAATACCAAAACTTTAGAGACAGAGAGAGAGAGAAACCAAGATTGATAAAAAAGAGAGAGATAATAAAAGAGAGAGAGAGAGAGAGAGAGAGAGAGAGAGAGAGAGAGAGAGAGAGAGAGAGAAAACAAGATTGATAAAAAGAGAGAGATAAAAGAGAGAGGGGGGGGGGAGAAACCAAGATTGATAAAAAGAGAGAGATAATAAAAGAGAGAGAGAGAGAGAGAGAGAGAGAGAGAGGGGGGGGGAGAGAGAAACCAAGATTGATAAAAAGAGAGAGATAATAAGAGAGAGAGAGAGAGAGAGAGAGAGAGAGAGATGGTAGGAGACAGAAAAAGACAGAAAGAAAGAAATAGAGAAAAAAGTGGAGAGAGAAGAAGAAGAAGAGAAAGGGCAGGGATGATGAAGAAGGGTGGACAGAAAGAAAGAGAAGGGGGCAGGGATGGTGGGAAAGGGAGATAGACAAAAAGGAAAAACTGAGGGAGAGAGAGATAGTGGGAGACAGAGAAAGACAGGTAAATAAAGAGGAGAGAGAGAGACGGAGAGTGACAGTGAAAGAAAGCGAGGGAGGAATAAACAAAGAGTGATAAAAAGAGAGATAATAAAAGAGAGAGAGAGAGAGAGAGAGAGATGGTGGGAGAGGGGGCAGGGATGGTGGGAAAGAGAGAGACTGAAAAAGGGAGAAACAGAGAGAAAGATAGTGGGAGACAAAGACAAATAAATAAAGAGAGAGAGAGAGAGAGAGAGAGAGAGAGAGAGAGAGAGAGAGAGAGAGAGAGAGGGAGACAGAGAAAGACAGGTAAATAAAGAGGAGAGAGAGACAGAGAGTGACAGTGAGAAAGAATAAAGGGAGAAGAGGGAGGAATAAAACGAAGAGCGATAGAAGAGAGAGACAATAAAAAAGAGAGGAGGTGGGAGAAAGAAACAGAGGACACGAACAAAACAGAGAAAAGGAGAGAGTGAGACAGAAGGACAAGATAGACAGATGGTAGAAAAGAAAAAGACAGAGAGAAGAGGAAGAGTGCGTGAGAGAGAGAGCAAGAAAGAGTAGATGGAAAGGGAGAGAAAGAAAGAAGGAGGGAGAGAGAGAGAGAGAGAGAGAGTCGTAGTGAGTCAGAGACAGATAAAGAGAAGGAGGAGAGGGAGCGCGCGCGAGGGAGTGAGTGAGTGAGTGAGTGAGTGGGAGAGAGAGAGGCGGTGTGTGTGTGTATTCCGCGCAGCGATGCTTCAGAGCTGAGGACGCTCGCGCCGAATGTCCTCGCGCTCCGCCGCTCCTCTGCTGCGCGCGCTCCGCTCCGCTCCGACCCATTCGGCGTCTCTGGGGGAGGATTTCTTTCTCTCCTCTCTGGAGGAGACCCGTGTTCTCCACCTCTCCTCCTCTCTCTCTCCTTCTTCTCCCACTTTCCCCCCCGAACCCCCCACACCTTTGGTCCCGCGTGAATGAACTTGCCAGCCCCCCTCTCACTGCTGCACCATGAAGACCAGTCGGAAGTGCCGTGCCCTGCTCTCCGTGGGCCTGAACCTGCTGGCCCTGCTGCTGTCCACCACGGCCTTCATCACCACCTACTGGTGCCAGGGCACGCAGAGGGTCCCCAAGCCCAACTGCAGCAAGGAGCGCCGCCACAACTGCATCGACTACGGCGTCAACGAGACGGACCCCAGCAAAGTGCACTACAGCTGGGAGACCGGCGACGACCGCTTCCTCTTCAGGCACTTCCACACCGGCATCTGGTACTCCTGCGAGGAGAACATCCACGGAGGAGGTGAGGGGCGCTTTAGCCCGGAGAGACGGAGTTTAGAGTGGACCACTGTAGTTATTTGTACTTGTGGGACGTTCCAGTCTGCTATGACCACCTGTACACACTTAAACAGATGGTTCTTAAAGGGAAAGGTTCTATTTAGAACCATGAGTTCTTTATAGAACCGTTTACGTGCTTAAATGGTTCTTTGCATGGTGAAATCGTTCTTCAGATTGCATTGTATATGTTTCTATATAGGACTGAAAAGGGTTATAGTTAAGATGTCAACTCTTTTTGGTGCTAGAACCATTTCAAAAAGGTTCTATATGGAACCGTATACAGCACACTTACAATGTTTACACAGTTATTGGCCACTTTATTAGACTTGTAGCTCCACCTCGTCAGAGCTGTATGTAAACATTTTGAGTGAGTAGCGCTGGTGCTAGAAAAGCTGTAGAACACTCTTAAAAAGATGTTTTTTTCAAAGGTTCTTTAGTAAAGAGAATGGGTCTGTTTAGAACCATGAGTTTTACATAGAACCATTTTATGCTTAAATGGTTCTTTGCATGGTGAAATCGTTCTTCAGATTGATGGAGAATGCGTTGTATATGGTTCTATATAGCACCAAAAAGGGTTATAGTTAAGATGTCAACCCTTTTTGGTGCTAGAACCATTTCAAAAAGGTTCTATATGGAACCGTATACAGCACACTTACAATGTTTACACAGTTATTGGCCACTTTAATAGACTTGTAGCTCCACCTTGTTGGGGCTGTATGTAAACATTTTGAGTGAGTAGCGCTGATGCTAGAAAAGCTGTAGCACACTCTTAACAGGGTGATGCTTCATTGTTCTTTAGTAAAGGGAATGGTTCTATTTAGAACCATGAGTTCTATATAGACCTATTTGCATGCTTAAATGGTTCTTTGCATGGTGAAGTGGCTCTTTAGTTTGATAGAGAATGTGTTGTATATGGTTCTATATAGCACCAAAAAGGGTTCTGCTATAGTTGTCATAGAACCATTCCCTTTACTAAAGAACCCTTGAAGAACTTCTTTTTTTTTAATGTAGTTAATTGTAGAAAATGTTGTCATTTCTGTGGTGAGTTTCAGTTTATTATGGCTAGTAGTTGATAAGTCTATCTTATTTATTATTATGGTTAGTCTTAGTTTATTAGGCAAATTTTTAGTTTATTATGGCATGTTTTGGTTTATTTAGGTGAGTTTTTAGTTTATTATGGCATGTTTTGGTTTATTTAGGCGAGTTTTTAGTTTATTACGGCATGTTTTGGTTTATTTAGGTGAGTTTTAGTTTATTATGGCATGTTTTGGTTTATTTAGGCGAGTTTTAGTTTATTATGGCATGTTTTGGTTTATTTAGGTGAGTTTTTAGTTTATTACGGCATGTTTTGGTTTATTTAGGTGAGTTTTTAGTTTATTATGGCATGTTTTGGTTTATTTAGGCGAGTTTTTAGTTTATTATGGCATGTTTTGGTTTATTTAGGTGCATTTCACTTTATTATGACAAGCTTTACTGTGGTGAGTTGTACTATTTATTATGGGAGGTTTATTTTATTTATGGTGTGCTTCAATTCATATATGGCCAGACATTGTTTATTATGGACACATTTGACTTCTTTATGGTCTGTATGTGTTTATTGTGGTGAGTTTATTATTGCAGGTTTAAGTTTGCTGTGGTGAGCTGTACTGTTTGTTATGGGAGGTTATTTATGGTCAGTTTTAGTTTGTGCACAGAAGCTGTTTATTATGGACAAATTCAGCTTGTTTGTGAGGAGTTTAAATTTATTGTGGCTATTTTCAGTTTATTTATGGAGTTGCAGTTTATTATACCAAATAAACTGGTTTATTATGGCAAATCTCAGTTTATTATGATTCATTTCAGTTTATTTATGTCAAGTGTCAATGTATTTATAGCACGTTTCTGTGTATTATTGCTGATTTTCAGTACATTTTGGGGAGCTGTAGTTGATTATGTTGACATTAGCCAGTCCAGACGAGTGCCATTATGATTCAAGTGATGTACAGTAGCTTTCTTTGCCACGTTTCCATTAATTTTATATGGAGAATGTGGTTAATTATGTATATTTGTGAAGCATGCTCTCTGAATAACTAGCCATTGTTCAATGCTATGAACACAAATTATCCGCTAAGCTCAGTAACAACTCCCATAAAGACATATACAATAATATAATGTGTTTTTTTTTGCATAGCTTTCATGTAAAAAAGTTGAATTAGACAGGAACATATCGGACTGATGTACGTTAATGTTTAATATTTGGTCATAGATCCCCTTAAAGGCTTGAAATCAGTCTGAATGCTGAATAGTGATGCATCGTCTCTGCATCAGCATCCCTGTACCAGTGTTTAATGGACTCTTAGAGCAGTGACCATCAACCCGATCCACCTGGCGATCCATCATTCTGAAGAGTTCGGCCTTAAACCCTAACTGAGGACATCTGATTAGATCTGCTTGATTAGCTGGACCAGGTGTTTTGGATTTAGATCAGATCTAAATTCCGCAGGGAAGGAGGAGTTAAATCATTACCTACAATGTTTATACACTTACTGGCCACTTTATTAGAAACACCTCTCTTGTAGCTCCACCTTGTCAGGGCTGTATGTAAACCTTTTGAGCAAGTAGCACTGGTGCTAGAAAAGCTGTAGTACACTCTTAAAAAGAGGGTTCTCTAGGGTTCTTTTGTAAAGGCAATGGTTCTATTTAGAACCATTTAATGCTTAAATGGTTCCTTGCATTGTAAAAAGTTTTGTCAGATTGATGGAGATTGTGTTGTCTATGGTTTTATATAGCATCAAAAAGAGCTACTCTGTTGCTACAAGCTTGACATCATAACAATGGAAGAACCCTTTTGGTGCCATACAGAACCATTTTCAAAAATGTTCTATACAGAACCATATACAACACATTCTCCATCAATCTGAAGAACAATTCTTGTCCATGAAAAGAACCATTTAAGCATGAAATGGCTCTATATAGAACTTGTGGTTCTAAACACAACTATTGCCTTTACTAAAGAACCCTTGAAGAACGATCTTTATGTTTGCCAAATAATATTAAATATTATATACGTCTAATGTTTTATTTCCTTCTACTGCTAACGATCCCCACAAAACTGCAGCAGTGTGAAGGTTTGTCCAAAAGGGGATGTTGGCACTCTGGTCATTTGTGTGTGCATCATTGAAAGGGAGGAAACCCACACTAGCAGGATCTCATGAATGGACATATGTTTGCAATTGCAAATTTTTAAAGCAGTGTCTCAGCCTGTCAGTCCAAAGACCTGAGTGGACTTACTTTCTTCAGGAGGTAAATGGTGAAATCTATACCTGTATCATTGCCAGCTTTGCATACAGCACTGTAACCCCAAACAGAACAACTCCTGCTTGCTGTTTTTCCACCTGGAGAGCCTTTGTTGAAACATTCAGATTCGTCCCACTGTGATAGGACAACCTAATGCACTACAGCTACCATTAACGACAGAACTTACGCTGCTTCACAGTTCACGCGCCTACACTTGGGCATTTGGGGAAGTTATACAACTGATTGACTACAACTACCATGAGTGCTAGGATTTTTGGATGGAGATGTTACACTGCTATACTGTTGCACTGCACTGCTTTGTGTACAGTTAGAGACTTTTTTGTTGTTGTGTTGTGGTTGATGCCCAATTTGTGTTAGCCATCCTCTGTCTCACGCGGCTCTTTTACTGCCCTGTTGTGGCTCCACAGAATCAGATTTGTAGGTAAAAATAAAATAATCCTCCTTTACAGTAAAATAAAGCTCTGCTGATCGTTCAACACAGTTTAACAATAAATGGTCTTAAACGCTGGAGTTAATGTAGAACTGCTGATTCACCCTTTAAGCCTGAAGTTTGGCATGCAGGTTGCTGGTCACCGTAGCAACACAGACAACAATCTTTCCTGGCTAGTAGCTAACGAAAAGGCAAAGAGAAAGATTTAAGACGAACATCGATAACTTACAGACAAATGGACTAATTTGTGTTCATCGCTCCAGCTGGTTTCCGGATACATTTAATCTGCAATGAGAAACTGTCAAATCCTAAAAAGTCACGAAGCTGAAGTCAGCTTCTCGTTTGAATTTTCCCGTTCCACCTTAAATGGTGCCTCGCTATTTAAGGTGGAGCAGGAAAATTCGAACAAGAAGCTGGCAACAAGCTGATTTCAGCCTTGTGAAAAAATGAATGTTGAGAGACATTTTACAATAAACTATTCCACCTTTTTTCCACTTTTGGAAAAGTTTCCTGCTGGAGATGCGAGAAAAGTGGCTATATCTGAGCTAAAGCTTAAAGCAGAGCAAAGTACGTCTGTGTTTTCATTTATATTATTGTTATTATTAAATTTATTTTTTGCCTATACTAGTACATCAGCACATCCTGAGACATATTTACAGCCAAGATGGTAAAATGGACATAAAATGTTGTGGCTCCCAAGGTGGTTGATTTTTGCTGAAAGGACAAAGTGGCTCTTCTTAACATTTGGGTTGCGACCCCTGGTCTAGACTGCACTGATCTGCCCTTGTGTCAGCTGTGCTCCTACATGCAGGGCCAACACTGGACATATTTGCCTGCGAATGATGTTCAACACGGTAATAAATCCAATCGACCTGGCTTACGGGAGGGGAGAGAGATGACAGTGGACGAGGCACTGGTCATATTTATGAGGATTAAGTCGTATGACTTGACGAGTTTGATGTTTCCGACACCCCCTTTCCATCATGCACAATCAGTGGATTTCCGAACAGTCTCACAGCGGCATTAAAAACCGAAAATATGCTTTCATTAAAAGCAAACTTTTCGTTATGATGTTTCAGAGCCAGGTTTTTTTAGAAAAAAAAACAAAATTACTGTATAATCCTTTGCAGATGCTGCTAAACATGGCAAAACGGTATGTGCAGCCAAATTTATAGGTCAGAGATGATATCATAATCCTGTATAATCCCCATATTTGGCACATGCATTGTCGAAAAACT